ATAGTTATTGATGTTATGAGTATTGAATATTTATCAAAATGTCGATAAAAAATAAGACAATGAAATAATGTAAAAGACCCTTTCCAAAAGTCGAGGAAAAGAGTAAACAGGTGAAAGATACGTAGGACTAATAACCGACTTCTTGGAGACTAAGCACTTGTAGAGCCATCTATGTGTAAATGCAGTAAATAAACTAGGGCATGGTATGTTTTCCTACTATACGGGGAGATTGGGTTAATAGATAATAGTGCTATAAATATCAGTGGTGTTAATTTTATTTTAAACATTATAATTACTATAAAGTTATAAACATTTGTAACATCAAGATAAGATAACGTAAAATATTTTCGGGCGAGATAGGCAGTACTCATGTACGTACATGCCATACCCATCGGCAATGGGTTAACCAATTCCCGACGGGAATGGCATGTATGTACATGCCATGCCCATCGGCAATGGGTTAACCAATTCCCGACGGGAATGGCATGTACGTACATGCCATGCCCACTGTGAGTTTACTTGTATAATTATTTTTACACATAGATGGCTACACTTGAACTAAATCACCTATGAGCCAATTACGAGTATTGCCTGCCTCGCCCGTTTACCCTTTTCATTAATTTACGAAAATAATTTACGTTTAGTAAAAAATACATTTTCCCGCTAATTCTATCTATCTAAATTTACATATATGTGTGTGTCTTTATATATATACACATATATAAGTATATACACATATATACATACACACACATATATACATACATGTATATATATACATATATCTATATGTATATATATATATATATATATATATATATATATATATATATATATATATATATATATATATATATACATATATATATATATATATATATATATACATATATATATATATATATATATATATATATATATATATATATATGTATATATACTTGTATATAGTCAGAACGAAGAGGTAGACTAATACGGCCGTGAATAATTTCATGTTTATTCGCAAACGTTTCAGAGATACATCCAATCTCTATCATCAGTGCTGTAAAATTGAACCAAAAAATGCGTGTATTAGACAACATAGACGAAGTAAATTACAGAGGTTCTCTAAATTAAAGTTAAATTTGATAGTGAGATAAATTCAGAACAATAAACACAACAAAAAGTGAGTAAAAATGAGCAAACAAAAATAACAATACCGTAAAATATATAATTCAACACTGGACCATGCATACGTGGATCTTTTAAGCTGAAAGGTGTGCCAGAAAGTGTAATTAGGAATACTAGATTCCATTACCGTGCTAATTAAGTTTATAACGTCCCAATGCTCATCGAGAGTGCCACAGTAGATAGAAACTGCGGTAAAAATAAACAATGGCAAATCGCACGGGTTTTACAGTTTTCCCTCAAGTATATTCAGTAAGGAATAACTAAACTGCCAGTATGTAAGTACAGTATATCACAAAATCAGGTAGGTTCAAACATGCTTACCATAAAGCGATAAGTATAATCAGCTACTCGACAGAAGATCCGCCGGATAATTTATGCATTAAAAAAGCGTAATTCAAGCGATGGCACCTCAATCGAGACGCTGGTAGGTTTAGCTGTCACTAAGGAATGCGACACCTCCGAAAAACAAAATCACCTTTCTAACTCCAAACGTCATCCTAAGCCTTTCTAACATCGTTCTAAATCCTCCTCTCCCTTTGTGCATGAACGTGTATGCAAGTTTGTGTGTATGCATGGTAAGCTATACACATGCGCGTCTAAACATATATACGGGCAGGTATACATATATGAGGGCATGTGTATGCAGGGTATGTGTACATCGTTATGTGTGTGTATGTACAGTTATATGTATGCATATAGTTATGTATGTGTATGTTCTATGTTCCCGTGCTTGTACAAGAGGGAATGCATGTATGTATATATACGTAGATATGTATATTTGTGCATGTGTATATATCCATATGTATGTATATATATGTATATGTATGTGCATGTGTGTGTTTGTATATGTATGCGTGTGTAAGTGTGTGTATATATGTGCATATATATGTATATGTGTGTGTATGTATATATATCATTATATAGTATATATATGTAAGTAGTACTTAGGGCATTTGCTGGTGAAAAACGTCTGCACTAGGTGTAAATACGCATAAATAAAATCAGTGTATAAAATATAATCACACATATATGTACTTCTGATACTAAAGCCCATGCTCATGGGAGTATACCCTTGTGTAGTAAGCAGGCCTGTGCTTTGCTGCTCTTAAGTTCACACTAGAAAGGGCCAACCCTGCTGGAATGGCTTATCAGTGGCATCCCGGCTAAACTACTCCCCCTCCCACCAAGACACCAAAGGCAGTCTACTTCTCAATCAAAAACCGTGACTGCACAAACAGAGCAACGCCCCTTGTTCCCAGGAGGAGAAGAATCCCCTGGTTACGGCGGCGAAGAGGATTGCTCCGGATCAGAGGGGGCTAAAAATCTCTGGTTTAAATCAGGACGCCACACGATGATGGACATTTGCACATATAATATAATGATAATGAGAACTGAATCCGACTTACTAGCATTACTTGAGGAACACTCATTAAGTGGGATGTTGTGTGAAGTTAGAAGACTAGGCAAAGAACAGGAAATACTAAATGATGGACACGTGCTCTATTGGGGAGGTAAACCCCATGAGCTGTGTAAAGTAGCAAGCAGGAATTAATTAAGTCTCTTAGTTCACAAACGTTTAGAAAAGAATATCGTGGAATTCTATAGTATAAGCAAAATAGTGGCTTAAGTAACACTAAATCTAAGCAATACGTACAACTTTAAGATTGTACAAGGCGATGCTCTAACCTGCAGCCACACTGATGAAGAAATGAAGTGCTTCTATTAAGCTGATCGTTTAGCCAGTGAGTAAAAACCCCTTTCACAATAGTTATGGGGGATTTTAATGCCAAAATTCGATGGTCGCATATCGTGTTTCTGTATCTGTCAAGAAACAGGAACCAGAATGCACAATCTTGTATCTTCCAGCACCATGGTCCTGCAACAACACATAGCCAAGGTCGTAGAGTCTGGAGGCGTTGGTCTGCAGAATGGTGGGAAGGACTGGATCAAAAGTTGCAAGTATGGGGGGTCTTGACAAAGGTTGTTTAATATCATTAAACACTTTGGTGTGGTCTGCTGTCCAAGTAAAAGCTCTCTTCGGACTCATCAATGGATGGAGTGGGGCTGCAGCAATCGAAATCTTAGGCATAAACTCTGCCAGTTGATTTACCAAGCCCATAAATGACCTGTCTGCAGGGGTAAGAAACTGTGCGATGGCTTTTACTTTCTCTGGGTCTGCCTCAATACCATTCTTTGATAGTTTGTACCCACAGAAGCTGGCCTTAGATGCAGCCACAATGAACTTCTCAGCATTAAGTGTTATACCATGCTGTCGACACCTCGACAGAACACGTTGAAGATGTGAGAGGTAGTCGTCATCATGTAGGAGAATGTTGTCTACAACCTTGATAAAGTGCCCTGTCACCTCGGAGACAAAAGGCGTCTCCTGTTGCTGCAAAACTCAAGGGGCCACGACAGTATCTGAAACGTCTATAAGGAGTGATAAATATTGTCAGGTGTTGAGCATCCTCATGCTGGGGTAGTTGCCAATAACCACAAGAGCATCCACAGTTGTGAAGAACTTTGACTGCGAACTGATGGCTGCAAATGGCGTCGGAGAAGGGTGGGCAGGGCGAGAGACTTGCCTGTTGAGCTTTGATAGGTTAGTGATAATACGAACACCACTATTTGCTTTTGGGACAACAACCACTGGATGACACCATTCTAAAGGTTCATCCTCCCTTGGCTTTAAGATGCCTTGGGTCACTAATGACTCAATCTCTTTTCTTGTCGGTTCCTAAAACGCCAAAGGCATCATTCTGGGGGAGTGGATCGTGAAGGGTGTGGCATTCTCCCGCAGATAAATTCTCATGGGTGGGCCTACCATCGTCCTGAATGGCCCAAACTTCTGCATACTGATGCAGGAAGTACTTCCTTGCTTCTTCAGGTGACTTCAGCTGGTTCAACGGTAAAGGCAACAACTGAGGAGGGTTCGACATTGGTGTACTGGGCAAGGGTTATGGGAATTCACCTAATACAAAATAACTGCTGGTTTGTTGAGAATGCCAATGATGAGAGGCCATGGGAATTCATCCTGTACAAAACAATTCACTGTCTTGTGGCATCTTTTAAATGAAAAGGCACCGAGAGTCCATCCTGAGGTAAAACGCTTAAATCAGTTCTTTGTCGCTTGCTTGCGCTTGCTGAGTGTAGAGAGAGAGCCTGATGCATGGGCAACAGCTTGCTTCTCACATTCTATCTTTCGCCCAGTCATTGACATTGAGATGTTTCGCACCACAGGAGAGGACATTCCAGCGACTTAACACGGAGAGTGGCAATTACTAGTTATAAGCTACAATGCTCAATTGGCATTAAAACGTGGCGCGAGGGGCCATCCTTACATTCTTTCTCCCAGGACAGAGTTAATAATGCCAACACCGTAAGTTTCTCTGTGGTACAGCGGTAGCGTTCTCGTCTAGAAATCTTACTGACCTGCGTTCAAATCCCTCGTTGCAAATAGATGGATACCCCTGCCATTCCTGGCACACAGGTGGTAATTTAGAAGCAAATTTAAACAGACATCATATCAAACCAAGAATATTCATTGTAAAAAATGAAATAAAATAAAATTATTATAAATTATTATACTGAATATAATTATTATGGTGGCCGACAATACACACACACACACACACACACACACACACACACACACACACACACACACACACACACACACACACACACACACACACATATATATATCATTTAAACATTTAATTTATAGATGATGAGGAATGATAAATGGTAAATAAATTCTGCTTTTACCTAGTACTAACTGGCATATTTATCTGATAACAGTTTTCTTCAACTGAAAGAAATTACCTTAC